CAACGCCTTGCAGCTGGCACTGCCAAACGTCCGTCAAGAAAGGTCCACATACCATCATGTGCCCTGGCTATCACTAGCTGAACTGCAAGAGGCACTTACTTACTTGTCGGAACCTCCTCATGGCTCGGCAGTGACTCACAATCTGACCTTGCAGCTGCCTGTTGTTCCGAGAAATGAAACCCACAACTGCTGCGCCCCAGTAGAGTAGCACTCTCAGTAGATGTGAATGTCCCACTCCTACACCTGCCCAGCGGAGACTGATTGTTTTGTCCTCTTGCAAGTTCAAGTTCTGCACACACACACACACACCTTGACAAACATGAATGTAAACAGCACCTGTTCGCCTTGCACGTGCTCCATCAATCCATTTGTCGAGCCTGCTGTGCCCGCTTCAGGGGGGAACTTCTCCCTGAGCGTAGCTTGGTGCACTGCCAATGCACTGCCAACAGGGCCTACTGAGTCTACTGACGATAATCCAATCATCTTGTCATTTGCTGGGGTCTTAGCCAGATTCGGACAGCCACAGCTGCAAGGCCATGCCTAGCACAACAAGTAAGAAGCGGGCGAAACCCGCGCTGGTCTGCTCAAAGTGCGAGGTTTCAACTGTGTATGATGTTTGATTGGCGGACACCACCATGGGATGTTAGATTGAAGAGGCTGCTAGCAACGAGTCACTGCAACGCTTGGCACTGCCAAAGAATTGGCAAATATTGCAAATCCAGCCGATCTGCGCAGAGAGCCATGAGAGCCTAGTAACTAATTGCTCATCAGCTTCGGCAGTATGCAGAATTCTTTGCTAAGCGACAGGACTGCGTGCCCCCATTCGTCTTCAGAACCTTGTTACGCTAGCAACGGCCGTGTGTCTTTTGCGCTCCACCCTTCACCTTGCAGCATGACGCAGGACATACGAGCATAATTGCAGCCCTCACGGGGTTGCTGTTGCCGTCAGGGGGATATCGGGCTTTGAGATTGCAAGTCAGAGACTTGCGCGACATTGAGGCAAACTGAGCCGCAAACTGTATGGCAAGCAAGAAGGCACTGCTGCCTCCCCTCGGTCAAATTTATGTTTCCTTTAAACGAAGACCTTTGCCATGCTGCAGCTGCCTGCCCTCTCGTCCATTTTTCAAAACCTGCAATTGGCAAGCTGACTGGCCACAATCGATGAGAGTTGGCAATTCAGGCCTCTTCCACCAGCAGAAGTGCCTGAGAGATTCATGAATGGGGAGCAAGATTCTATGTCTGGCCCATTTTCTCATCTTGCGCCAGAGTGCTTGCCTGCCTGTGCATTGTCGCCATTGGCGAGGCAGTTGTAGAAGCTGTCCTCCATCGAGTTCATGGCCAAATCTTGCAAAATGGGTGTGCGCAACATCAGCACAGTCATCAGGCTGCAAGAACGTACGACACCATACCACACACCGACGGGACTGAGGAAGCCGAGAATTCAACGTTCCTCATTATAGATCTACAAATAGACTGCCGGGCAGTAGTCCTCCTTGCCCACGCATTGGCCCAGCTTCGCTTGTTCCGTGTAGCCTGCCTTCACGCTGCGCAGAGCACCTGAAAGCACTAGTTACGCTTGTTAAAAAGCCATGGTCAGCCCAACTTCTGACTTCAAACTGTGATTCGCACAGCAGGCCAGCAGACTGCAAAACCACCCTGACAGGAGTAATTGCCTCCTGCTTCCCGAAGCCGACTGTGCTTGTCAGCCACGACTGGTGCCGGATGTGATCCGCAAGAAGACTCCAGCGGTGGCAGCTCAGCTCCAAGCTCTTCCAGGCTCTTTCGCACAGCTGGGTCACCCAATACAGATGCCAAGCCCCGACGAAGTCCAGGCATTGTCTCCAACCGTGCGTCACTAGCCAATCGATCAGCAAACGCTGAAATGAGCCCAGATGCACTCCGAGCTCTGTTTTGAATTTCAACATATTGCCCTCCAAGTTTCGAGATTGCTGTCCAAACTTCAGACAGTTGCTTTAGCAAAGAAGGGCCGCCAATGCAATTTGGAGCTTTCATGCGGTCCTGAACTGCAGCAACCATCTCATCCCAGGCATCCACCGTTCTCAGAACATGTTCGCATTGCGAAAGCTCCTGACCAGGCCAGCCCAGACGCTCCAGGCGCTCGAAACGCTGGTGATCTGAAAGATGTGAAACATGTAGCTGAGTCTGCAGGTCCTTGGCCAACTGCGTCACATGACGGATATCTACTAATCGGACCACCTGTGCTCTTCCAATCTCCCTGGTGTGAGCTTGCAAGTCAAGGACTTTGCCAGCGTTGGCCTTCTCCAATGCCTCTCGCTGTAGTGCTGCAGAGTCCTCAGAGACTGCAAAAGGAATCCTCACCGCCCTTCCCTCAGAGCAGTGGATGCCATCTTGCATCGCTTGCAGATTTGACTATGTGGCTACCTGTGATACCACGCTCCATTGTATGTGTACAGATATATATATATATAGGGAGAGAGAGATAGATAGATATCTGTATGAATACGTGTAGTATGCATACATACATACATACATACATACATACATACATACATACATACATACATATGCTCAATCTTGTCCTGCATGGCCTATGCCGCCACGGCCGCTACTTTGTCTGCTGGTTGCTGACTTGATTCGTTCTGTGAACCGGCAGTGGCATAGCTGCACATCACAGCAAGCTCAAGTGACAAGTGTCAGCTGTAGCACAGCCAGCCTGGTGCGCTTCTTCAATGCAAATGCTATCAAGAGTTTTCCTATGTTCCTGCATTAACAAGGCCGGCGTGCGACGCCATGCCTGTGGAGTCCTAAAGCGGACCCGGCACACCTGAATGGCTGATGCACTGTGGCAACCCAACACAAACCTTTGCACAAATCTTGGTATTGGCAGTGCGTCAGCCAATGCCGGGAAGGTCATTAGCATTGCCCTCGGGCAGTTTGTGAAACTAATGTACTAAGGAGACAGCTCAGGCAGCCTGGGGCAACATCTGAATCTGTCAGCAAAACGTCAAGTTTGTCTATGCAAAAGGTGAGCCTCACCAGATAGCATCTGAACCACCACCTGGCATTCAGATCAACCTGAAGTATCCTGAAGTAATTGCTTGCACTTTGCTTGCTTCTGTAACAGGCCCAGCAGACGGCGGTGATGTCGTCAACGTCACCGCCTTGTTGAATCCAACGCGATCTCGCCTGGCTCGCAGTGCTTTGAGCAAGCCCACCTCTAAGCCCAGCTACAGCTGAGCCCAACAATGATGTGCTTCAGTGGCTCTTCATCCTATTCCAGGGTGATTCGGAGAGAAGGCAACACAGCTCTGTCATTTTTCTGTCGGCGCATCTAGATTCATTACAGAACACGTGCCTGGCCAGTTCCCTCCCTGTGCGCCTCCGATACGAGCGCCTTTGCCGCAATGCTTGCGCCTTTGGTAGGTGATTGAAATTTCGGGACAAGGGGGTGAAGCCCACCTCTTTCGATAACTTCTCTCCGAAATTCGTGCTGAGTTGTTGCTTTGGGCCACTCACGCACCAGTCAGCACTCGAACACTTTTGCTAACTTTGTAGCCTTCTCTTGCCTCGGAGGCTTGCTCAATGTTTCATTTCAGACTGGAATCCAATTCCAAATACTAGTGTGCAATCTGCCATCTAGGATTTTGACCTCACCTGCATCTGATCTTGGGCATCTGAAACACAAATGTGGGACATCCTGCTTCTAGAACGGATGAACAATTTACCGTTTCAGGCTTACTCGGCTTGCTTGGCAAGCTGAGTGGGCTACCGCCTAACGCCCACCAACTGACCAACTCCCGGTCTACTGAACAGAGAACTGACAGGATGAGCAGCAATGAGTGCTACACCTTGCTCCCCGCTGTCCAGCTTCAAAGCGGCGGCTGTGATGGCTGCAGCTTCGTGTGATGTCACCTGGCAGCAGAGGCCACGCGTTCAAAAAATGTTTTAGCTTGCGTGGTTTCAAATCGGTTGCTCCTTCTCTTTGGAGCGCTGTCATCCAGCCCTTGGAAATCAACCGCTCTTCCGATGGCTTTCCTGTACCGTCTAGAGCCTAGAGTCTGGACCTGCTCCGCTCGAGAGTTTGGGTGACAATGCTTTTCACAGCTACTTCACCCTGAGCATTCTTTGTCGAGGCCGTTCCGCAAGCTCAATTTCTCCACACGAACACGAGAAGGCGCTGCCCGAGCCCTTCGGAAGGTTGCTCTACGAATTCGAATAGCTGTTTCTGCTAGTGCATAAACGGTGGATTTGTGTTTGTGTTGGCTTGTTTTTGTTTGACTTTTCCCTGTTTTTTGGTTGTTTTTCCAAACCGCTTGATCCCAGTGACTGTTGACACTTTTGACACGCCAAAAAGATATGAGAGCTCAACAACGATGACAATTATGAGGATGGCGACCGCGACCCGCCTGATCCCTGTGACCGTGGATACTTTTGACACGCAAGAAAGATATGAGCGCAGACGCTTTCTGCTCCAAACGCTTAACGCTGGCCCCTGCTTTACTTCATATTTGTAGTCTTCCAAGAGGCGCAAATCTAGCT